AACAAAGATACCAATATCTGTAATCCTTGTGTTTGTGGAGAAAGGTTTTGGTTCATTTTCCATACTAAGTGATGTTTATTGAAAATTAAAAAAAAAAAAAGTCAAGTTAAATATATTTATATAGCGCTTTTCACAATACAGATTGTATCAAAGCTGCTTCACAGTATCAATTGAAACAACTTACCAGTGTTTGTTTATTACTGGACAAAAGACATCCAAGTTTGGCAGAGCTGATCAATGGTATGATGGTTGATTTAATTTGAATATCCCCAAAAACAAAGTTTTCCATGATGAGTAGGGGGATATAATATGTTTGTACTGTATCATTAAATCTATTGAAAGTCCCCATAAAACATGAAAACACAGCGTGTGTGTTTTTCCATCGGATGTGTGAGATATGAAGCTGTATTGGAGGTCTCTGATATTCTGGAAGTCTGACGGTCCGCAGGGGTTTGAGTAGCGCCTCCCTGCTGGGCTCTTGCCTCTGCGCCTGGCTGGGCAGAACCGGAACCTCCGGGTCCCAAGGGAAGAACCTCAGACAGGACTACGCAGTCGGACAGGCAGCTTGGAGCTTAAGAGAGTTACATGGAGACCGAATGAACAAGAGAGACTGACTTGTTGATGAGAGGAGGGCTCACTGGCAAGTCACAACTATAGAAGACAAAAACAGATCATGTACATACTTGATATGTACATATGTGGGGGGAGAAAAGCTACTTTGCTCTGTTCTGGGATTGTGGTGTGTTTGTTGAAGAATTGAGTTCGTAGGTTGTATGTTCAATATGTCTGAAGAGCATTCATAGAGCTGTCACCAAAGAAAAATTTCAACTAAAAATAAAAATTCTAGCCTGGGAAAAACCAGACAACTTCTCGCAAATTTAGATTTGCTCTGAAAGTTAGTCTGGCAAAGAGCTCATTCAAGTCCATTTCCAATCCGTCGAAATCACGGCACCTATCAGAAACGTTGGGGCGGTGACGTCAACGCTGGGATTTTGAAGCAGATTTTGTAGCCTACATTACAAAGATGGATGCCGCCATCGAACATCACTCGTTCGAATCAGCTATCGCGTCTGTTTTAAGCGATATGAATGTTTCCTTTTTGTCTAAAACCGAGCAAAGAATAAAACTCTGAGATGTTTCTCCGCATATGTCATCTCCTTCATCACTCTGATTGGTTTTAGGTCTACCCACGACGTCCGTTGGTGACGCCCTTCTGGAAATCTATGACGATTGTCTATGACGATTTGCCAGACCATAACTCAGTTACAACTGAGAATGGTCTGGTTTTAACCAGGCTTGTGCAAAATAAGATTGTGTGTAGAATTGCCTTTTTTTCTACAATGTAAGTAATTGAGAAAGGAAGTCACTGACCTCCAAAAACACCATTAAAATAGTTAATACAACTACTGCATACACTTATACATTCAATTCCAAGTCTTCTGAAGCCATATGATAGCTTTGTGTTGGGGGAAAAAAACAAAGCATTTGCTGATGATGACCCTCCCCAGACAGCAAACTAACATTGAATCAACGTGGAAACAGCGTCTCTCATGACATCGAAACAACATTGATTTTGCTCATCGAATTAACGTTGAACCAACGTCAGACGCGGCGTTCTTCAAAGCTAAATGAAAATCGAAAATTGGTTTGCTTTCATAATGTTGAAACAACGTTGATTTCAAGTTGATTTTCCGTTGACGCGTCTGACGTTGGTTCAACGTTAATTCGATGAGCAAATCGCGTACTATGTGAGTAGGTACTATATTTAAATACTTTAAATACGCGTGACCGTTAAAAAAGTACGTTCTATATAGTATGAATGAGTCCGGACGTACTACATGTGCCATGTTGTTGTCGCGTGACCTACGCCGTCACAACAGTGCGAAAATTTACTGTACTAACTTCGCTTTGTTTTTAGTTCTCATCTGCGTTTTTACGTCGTAAAAAAAAATTATTTTACCTCATGAAACACACACAGACTCTATAATCAATGACAGATGTTGATTTTTGGCAAGGAAAAAGACATTTATTTGCTTGTGATATTACCATCGATAAATACATGAATGAATCAATAGAGATACGCATGTGTGTCTGTGTTTATCTCCTAACGTTACAGCCGCGTCTCCGGTTTCCGCCATTTTCAAATATAACGACAACAACTCCTCTCCCGCGGCATCATGTGATAGTAAAGTGTCCATCGTTTGCGCACTTCAGAATCTCGCCCGAAGTAGTAGGTCATCCGGGTACTTTTCGCCTACTGTTTTTCGAATTATATGATTTCGGACATACTACTCTGCTCGTGTACTGTTTTTCGCATAATCTATAGTAGAGAAGTATTCGATTTCGGACGCAGCCCAGGTTTCACGACAATATCATTTGGTCATCACAACCACACTGGCATTCTTGTCCCTTCAAATATGGTTCATCAAGATGCTCAGTTTGACATTTGATATTGTCTTTGTCATTGATAACTGAGCTATTATTTCCCGTTCTCCTCACCTCAGGAGTCTGTCTGTCCTAAGTATGTGCTTAAGTATACTGTAGGTCACTTTGCATAAACTGCTGAATGATTGCTTACAGTTAGAATATTTAGCGATTTCCTCTTGCAATGTGATTAAAATGGTTTAAACGCTGAGAACGTCTGCTCTCTCTCCGCTCGGGCCGTGTGTGCTCCTTCGTAAATATTTGATATGAACTTTAGTCATGAATCTGAGCTGCCGCTTGACATTTCACTGCACTGCAATTAGAATTCAAACTCAAATAGTATTCTTAATTACACTTGGGAATGTCATTTTCATGGTCCAGATATGCTTGGTGTAGAGCAGCCAGCCCTGCAATCACCAGCCACTATGTCAACATCCAATCAGGGAGAAGTATTAATGAGGTAATGGAAGCAGTGGAACTGCTCTACAGACTTTATTTAGATCACTTTCAATAGATAGCTTAAAGTCAAGCAGCTTTACCGTATTAAACATGAAAAACAGTGTCAGTGCCTCGTTTCATCAGAAGTACAACTTCAGTTGCTACTGTAAAGCAACTCTCCAGTGTGTTCATGTCTTCGTTCTCGGACGTCTGATGGTGGTGTGAAGGTGTTTAGCATCCGGAGCTAACTTTTCTGGAAAGTTCGCTTTAGCAAGCTGTTTCGAACTCCCCAAACAAACTTTGTTTTGGCCTGATTTTGTTGGAAATGACGTCACATTAGTTATGGAAGACCATTTCCGCAAAATAAGAGAGATACTAAAGCATGAGTATGTGATAAAAAGGTGGATTTATGACAAAAAAAGTATACATTTTAGACATGTGACTTCATAATTGTTGTCAAAATTGACACATACTGTATGGCTTAAAGGGTTAGTTCAACCAAAAATGACAATTCTGTCACTATTTACTCACCCTCATGTTGTTCCAAACCTCTATGTGTTTATTTGTTCTGCTGAACACAAAGGAAGATATTTGGAAGAATGTTTTAATCAAACAGATCTCAATCCCCATTGACCACCATAGTAGGAAAAAATACATACTATGGTAGTCAATGGGGAATGAGATCTGTTTTATTAAAACATTATTCTAAATATCTTCCTTTGTGTTGCGGAAATGGTCTTGCATATTTTAGGATTCTTCAAAATTCTGCAGAAATAAACAAGTCAGACAGGATTGAACTAATGTGACGTCATTTCCAACAAAATCAGGCCAAAACAAAGTTCGTTTGGGGAGTTCGAAACAGCTTGCTAAAGCGAACTTTCCAGAAAAGTGAGTAAATACTGACAGAATTTTCATTTTTGGGTGAACTAAACCTTTAATAATTGTTTTCAAGACACAAGTCATAACTGACATAACTATTTTTATAATCTCAACTGTCATAATTATTTCATAATTTCAAACTTTAAATGTTGGATTTTATCTCATAATTTTGACGTGTCATATATATACGACTTTTCCTAATAATTATGACATTTACCAAAGCATTGATAGACAGAAATTGGCCATAATTATGACTTTTGTGATAAGCTTTTTTTCGCATTATGATATAGTATTTCATTATTTACACTTATGTCATAATTATGATGCTTTTTTTTGTCTTATGTGGCAGAAATAAGCTTTCATACCATGAATTTAATTGTATGCGGGGCAGCGGGGGTATCCTTCTATTATATAAATATCTTGTTTTGTGTTTCACAGAAGAAAGTCAGTCATACAGGGACGACGATAGGGAAGAAAAGTCGATCGCAATTTACTTTTCAAGATCTGAAAGTCCCGCCTTTCATTTTAAAGGATCCAGTGTTGTTGTTTTTCTTTAGCCTGATAAATTGTGTGAGAGATTTTAGAAAAAGAAGCAAAATTTATGATGCCATTGTTGTTTTGTTGCTCTTTCTCCATTCAAGTGGATAGGAGCTTTACTAGTTTGCCTAAAATGTGAGCTGCCTGGTGGCGTCACCAAGATGACAGCTACATAAATTGGCATGAGAGACTTCAGTAAAGCGTTCAGAATCATTTTCTCTCAGGATGTTGCCTATGTAGGCAGCGTAGAGCAAAGCAGCTCAGCAGGTTTTGGTACCGAACCAATGAATCCTGCCTCTGTAAAAAAACAACATTGTCGCTCTCATTCACTTCAAGTCTGTTTTTTACTCTCTCTTTCTTTTTGTCTTCTCCCTTGTATCACTGAACCCAGCCTTTGAGTGCTTCTGAAATAGAGAGGGACCACTGGACTGGAAATTGCTCTCCCTACATGTCCTCCTCTCTCTCTCTGCTCTGTGTGTAGGGTGGTTGCGGATAATTGTCTCTCTGTGCCATACACAGCTGTAGCCGAGGGGTGTTGGACAGCACAGAGAGTTCAGTGTCCCAGTGGGGGACCCGTCAGTGTGTTGGACTCAATTAATCCTCTTTCCGCTGGTTAACACTAAAAATATAACTCCTCTTCCTCGCTACTCTGTATTCAAGCCTTTTGCAGAACCTACGAGCGAAACAGGTGTGATCACACAATGTCTGTTTGTGTTTTGCAGTCTTTACGGGCGACACATGCAGGCCAACCCCGAGGCGCCCAAAAAGAACGCCGACAAATCAAAGAAGATCAGCCGCAAGCCGCTGGCGGCCAAGAACAAGTGAAGAAGAGCTGATCCGAGATGAACCTCACTGCATGTGCCTTCTCCGTTTGCTATTTATTCATAAAGTATGTTTTTTTTTATTGCTTCAGTATTACGTTAATCGTTTCCAATCCTTTCTTCCGTGTTTAAGAAGTGTCCTTCTTGTCCAATGCCTTCAAAGTGTCAATTCAGACCTGCGCCGGGTGCTAATCCGATTTCTGAACACGTGTCTGTTGCGTCTCTCGAGTGTTGTCCTAGTCAAGATGAGGGGAGCGGGGAATTTTTGGGAGGTGGTGACGAGTCGAGTGTTTTGTAACCGAACAGGGATTTAGCAGGAGTTTGGGGGTCTTAGTGGAGTCTGAGCAGGATTGTGTCGGGTCTCCGGCGGGACACCGCCGACCGCTTTCTCTGCCTCTTAATGACAGATATGAATGGCTGCAAACGGGAGTTTCGGATGGTACACAGCAGATACCAGACACAAACACCCCGGTGGCCATTTGAGAGGGTCAACAAGATATCGTAACAAACCACAGATGGTGTTCTTTGAAGCGATTGGCCATTGTTTCTTACTGTGTATTCAAGTTAACATGACAGTGCCACTTTTTACAGAACTACGTAGAGTAGCGTTTGGGGTTAATCATTCAACAATAGTTGTCATTTCTGCTGTCATCGTTCACTACAGATTGCGTACACTAACATCATGTAATTCTGCAAAGCTTGGCTGATTTTAAGTTTGACTTTTTTACGGATGTGTTATTGTTTATTTTAAAAAAAGGTCACGAGCTGTTTCATTGCAATCACGTTTAAAGTTTTAATATTTTCATATCTTTTATCATGTGCACACTGATCTGTGTGCTATGTACTGAATTTTTTGACATTGAAATAAAGTCACCATTCGGTTTTTCATTCTCCGGTCTTCGTTCTTCAGTGTCACGTGATCCTTCAGAAATCATTCTAATGTGCTGATTTGCGGTTCAAGAAACATTTCTTATCAATTTTGAAAAATATTATATTACAAAAGTATTTTCTGTCACTTGTTTACACCATATTCCATAACAGATGGGGGCAGTATACCTCCAGAAAAATACCTCCGCGGCCGCGCGCACTCATGTCTTCAAACAACACGGGTGAGCGGGTCTCCCTCGCGCAAATTAATCAGTAAAACTAACAGTAAAAGGTTGGAAGACCGCAGTTTCACGTGGATCATTTGGAGATTTTCGGAGATTAGAGACTAAATGAACAACATCTCAATACTAAATTATAAAGGCCGTCTCATAGACAAGCCGGTGCATTTCGACGATATGGGAAAATTAAAGCCCAGGCATTTTTAGTTTATGGTATTCGTTTTGTTCATGTTACATTATTTATCATTAGTTTGAATTAATTTGACAGACAGCATTCCCTGATGTGGACCAAGCTAGCACCTTTCAGAGCTGCCAACTCTCACAAATTCACCGTGAGACACAACTTTTCACACACTCTCACGCCACATCCATTTTGTCATGCACAGAAAAGGACACAGAGACCGATCTCAGCTCTCAGATTCTGTTCATTTTATTACGCAATTCAAACAATAAATGCAGTTTTGGCGCTTGTAAATGTTAGACAACAGATCCCTAGCGCACGTGAACCGATCATCTCTACTAGCTAATGGTAAAAGAACACGAACACTGTTGAAAGATATGTTACAACTTACCAAAATGTATTTCCTCATGCATAATATCGACCAATCATTTATTTAACTCATCCCTGAACTGAAATTTAGTAGCGGGCTGTATTTCCACACGACATCACGACATGACATCAGGTTCAAGTACACACAAGCCGGCGCGACTTACTCGTGTTACTGCAGTTTGGCTGGTGGTAACGTTGCCCGCCCGCATACCCCCTCCCATGGCCGAAACTGGTATTACGACACCTGCCGGGCCGGGGCTAATAATTTAGCATGCTAATTTAGGTTATATCTCGGCAGCACTATAACTTGCCAGTTTTTTAATGACATCATTGCACTTATTTCTTCTCATTCTTTTGATGTGTGTAGCTCATTTTTTGGATATTTATACCTCAATTATTCCATATGGCACCTTTAATGAATAAAAGTACTAATTTCTTTGAAAACAAAAATTTTACTGACCCCTAACCTTTGAACTGTATGCTGGTATGACCACATGATGTTAAACTAGTATAAAGACTTCTCATTCATGTACTGTAACTGAAGAATTGTGTAAATTGTTTTGAATTTAATTTGACAATTTACATAAGAATAGATTTACAACATACACAGAACATTGTGCAACTGAATAAACAGACACAAGTTTACTTTTACATGCAAATCATCAATTGGGTTTTTACTTTTGTGAGCTTATATTAATTTATCCGTTTTTGTCCTTTGATTATTGTCAAAGAGTGACTCGAACATTTGCCAGAGCAGACTATGATGTCACAGAGAGGGTGGGGCTTAGTTTGACAGCATGCATGTGATTGATTTTGATTATTTTGGGATGTGTATTATATTTCTCCATTATGTTGAAACTGTATCTTACTATGCCTCTCATAATTTCAATTATTTAAAAAAAATGAGCTACTTTACAAGATGGTAACTTTGGAACAATATTTGTTCTAAAATTTGAACTGATTATATACTTTTGTCATTTTAATTTTGTAGCATTTGGTCTCACCACACTAAAAGTAGCCCATCATTGAAAAACCTTCACTGGTTTGAAAACAGCTGAACTAATGTCACGCTACCAGACAATTGTCACTTTTAGTTGCTCTCTAACATTGGTTGTCACCTTATCGAGTATAATCGGTGTAAAGGGTGCGGGAAAAAGCCCGTTTGTCAAAAAAAGGTCCATTGTCTATAGAGTGCGACAGTTGGGTTTTGGAAGTAAAAAACTCAAGGGAAAATGATTTTTAAATAATAAATTATAACCAATTAAAGTCAGTCCTACTGTGAGCTACGAGGTTGTTAATGGGTGGTATTTGCTTCTTTTGAAGCTGGTAGCATGTATTATATTAACCATTTTTTTAAATAATTGTTTAACAGCAGATTTTGTGGTGAAACCACATTACCAATCAGAGAGTCGAACCAAGCTAAACACGCCAAATGATATCGCTAACTCCGCCCATTCTCACGAAGCATTGCCATTGACGTAATTGAGTCGGGTTTCCCTACACTCTTAAATAATTTATAATCAACATTTTTATACACCTCCATCTTTTTAATTCAATTGAGCTGTTCGCAATGCTTCATGGGATTGTAGTTCTTTCTATCACTAAAGCCGTGAAGTACACATTCTTGTCTTTTTATCCAATTTTTTGCTTTAAATCAAGCTTTGTAATGCTGTGATTCTCCTCGTATCTGGTCAGCCTGATTCATAGCTAAAAATGCTTTAACCATGACTTTTTTTTTTTTTGGAAATCCCTGTGGGCGAAATGAATGTAAAAAAAAAAATACTACCGGAACCAGAGCCGCAGAAAAAGCACTCGTGGGCAGGCACTAATGCACTCGATTGTCAAAAGTGTAGAAGCACAGCTCACACAGTCGCTTTCTTTTTATTCACAGTCACAAACTAACCAACTTTCTATTGGTCAATGCAGCAAATTCAAGAAACCAATTTGAACCCGTTGTGAATTCTGCTTGGGGAAATCTTTCGCCCTCATGCTAAATATGGGATTACGTAGATTTCTATTGAAATGACTGGGTTTCGAAGATGAAAATTCGCCGAACAAAGGTAAATGTGACCACACCTTTAGACTGTGCATGAGTGTTTCTTAGCATGGCCATTTAATCTCCCACTGGTAGATGTTGTAACTTCACTATCTGAACCCTAAAAGCATCTTTCTTCTTTGACGCCCGTTCAAGTCCTGCACCAACCACTGAGATGAGACGGCTTCCTTCAGGTATTCTACATCTCATTTTTGTTGCCTCTATAAATCAGAACCATGCATTTGCTATTTTGGGAATTTGCAACAATCATAAGTGCTTGAAAAATAAGTTAAAGTTAAAGGAGTAGTTCACTTTTAAAAAAAAAATCTTTTGCTGATAATTTACTCACCCCCATGTCATCCAAGATGTCCATGTCTTTCTTTCTTCAGTCGAAAAGAAATGAAGGTTTTTGATGAAAACATTCCAGGATTTTTCTCCATATAATGACCTTCAATGGGAACCGAACGGTTCAAGATCCAAAAGACTCAAAGGGCTTTAAACGATTCCAGACGATGAATAAGGGTCTTATCAAGCGAAACAATCGCTCATTTAATAAATAAATAACAAAGTTTAAGTTTTATAAGCTCAAATGGCCACCTTGCTCTGTTCTGTGATGAGCGTTCGTGACTCTCCTGTCCATCAAAATGAACGAATCTTTTTTCGTGTCATTTGGTTCATTCAATGAACGAAAGGAACGAAATGAAAAGATTCGTTCATTTGAGCTTATAAAACTTAAACTTTGTTATTTTTTTATTAAATGAGCGATCATTTCGCTAGATAAGACCCTTATTCATCATCTGGAATCGTTTGAAGCCCTTTGAACAGTTTGCACTGAAGGACCTTGAACCGTTTGGTTCCCATTGAAGTCCATTATATGGAGAAAATCCTTTAACGTTTTCATCAAAAACCTTAATCTCTTTTCGACTGAAGAAAGAAAGACGTGGACATCTTGGATGACAGGGGGGTGAGTAAATTATCAGCAAAAGTTTTTTTAAAAGTGAACTACTCCTTTAAAGTTCTTAAGTAGAATGCTTGATTTGCAGGGTGTGATCTGAAACGGCTAAAGAAAAAAAATTGATTTTCCCATTGGAGGCCCAGTCTTGGTCCAGACCACCTCCATGACAGGAGATCAGGGGTAAAGGAGCTGACCTTTCAGTGCTGTGAGTCAGATGATGTTGATAGGTCCATGATGGCCGTGTGGGATTTCCTGTCACTCTTTGCAAATTTTCTGCTCACATTATTATTATTATTACCCCATCCAGACGCCGTCTGTGCGTCGCCCTGTCCTCCTCGTTCACACTCTCTGTTCTCTCGAACGCTCTCAGCAGGCACATCTGTCCAGCGCACCTTCGCCCAATACACTTTCCTCTTGCGCTCAGCAGGAACATCTGTCAATGGCAAAGTCCACACCGCGTACCGAACCTCTTCGACTGTCTCTCGCCCCTCTGAATTCTTCATCCGCTTCCGAAAGTTTTCTTTGCGTTTCAAACTGATGAGTCTTGGAGAGAGGTGTGGTTTGGAAAAGTTTTCCACAAACTGTTGGACATTCATTACGGCCTCGAAGTCTTAGGCGATCAATCTCTTGCTCCGCGGAGAAACGGTTCTTTAGATCCCGACCCGAGCTCGTCCCATCCTTCTGCCAGTGTCGATAGGAAGTGGGACGTTGAAGTTTAAAAATGAGTCCGAATGGCGATGGATCACCGCGCACGCGGCCCGACCGACAATTACTCACTGACCTTTCAGAGAAATCCTTGAACGTCTTTTTCCCTCGCTTGAGTTACAGACTTGTAGCAATTTTGCTCAGCTTGATTAGTTTTTTTGTTTGTTTAGTTTGTTTTATCACCCTGTTTAAAATGATTTCTCGAGGCGTACTCTCTATGCAGCTCATACGCTGAAGGGCATTACGGCCCTGGCTAACCGAGGTCATTGATTTTTGCCGCTTGATTTATGGGGCGAGGGAAACTCCTCTGGAGAGAAGGTCCCATGCCGGCGTCGTCGGAGACGCTGTTGAACCTAGACTTTCATCAAGCGCCCAGGGTGAGCGATATGGATAGTGGTCCATTGTGTTGTTGTCCGAAGATAATTGGGTGTGTTGAAGACCTCGCTGAGTCAAACCTCAGCAACCAGTCCGTCTAACCAGTAACCCTGCGAAACAGAGGCTACTAACCTGTTGAGTTCGAGAGATGCACCTCAAGCGCTCAGTAGCACACAGTCATGCAACTGCAAGGTGGTCGATTCCCAGATTGGAATTAAATGAATGATTTGTTCTTGCATCCGGTAGTGGCAGTGCATCACTGGCAGGTCTATACTATTGGCATACGTGTCGGTTTGTGGTTTGCGCCGTTACCTTCAAAGCTCATTCTCAGGGATACGTGAATAAACATTTCCAATAGCTTCATTTTTCACTGTGCAGTGACCTAGAACATAAGCTTGACTAAAAAGGGGACGAGTGCAGAAGTTTTGGGTTGCGCATCGAAAAGTTAAAGAAACACATTTCAAGGGATGTAAACGTCAAATTCCTAAAGCGTTTCTGCATGGTCGTTATCTATCCAAACTTTCCATCAAAATTTTCGTCTTTTGACATAAAACGTAACATTTTGTTACATAATTTGGGTGTGTGTTTGTGTATATGTATACTGCACTCTAAAAAATGCTGGGTTGTTTTAACCCAATTTTGGGTCAAATACGGACAAACCCAGCCATTGGGTTACATTTTTAAATTATATTTTTAACCCAATTGTTTGAGTTTGTCAATATTTGACTCAAAATTGGGTTAAAACAGTAAATATACAAGAAAGTATACAAGTATTTATACACTTACACACACACAAACTGCCTATATATATATATATATACTTACAGATAATAATTTAAATTATTATATTTTTGAACTACACTCTTCATTGATCACAATTTCTATTTCCCAAAACAACATTATTATACTGTTATTATGATTATAATATTGTGTTTATTTTAGTATATATATATATGTTCTGTATGTAAATGCTTGATATTGGTGAAAATATTTTATGTTTGTAATAGAATGAATGGTTTTTTGTAAACTTTAGAAAGTATATCATATTCAAAAAAAAGTTATTTATCTTAATTAATTATTGGTTTGACTTAAAATAATTAATAATTAAATTATTTAAATACAAAATTTGCATTAATTTTAATGCATTTTAAGCTAATGCATTAAGGAGATCGTTTTAATCGACAGAAACTCGGAATATTATTTTATCTGAATGAACCACATTAATTATCTAAGCTGATTTGACAAAAAAAGAAAAAAAAGTAGAGTGTGACAACATGCCCCGCTATGTTTCAATAATCTTGTTTAATTGTTCTGTCTGTCTGTCCTGAGTAGGTGTTTGATTTAGATGTCTGTGATTTTGCGTTTTGGTGTTTGTTATAAGCCAGCGCTGGATCTCTCCCTCCCTCTTTTCTCTCGTGTCCTGCGCTTCGCTCACACTCACGCAGAGCGTCTCAGTTCTCCAAATGTTCATGACATCCACCTTTATCCAGCTCATCCTGTTTTTGTGCACTAAGGAAAGACTTTGAAAGCGAGGAAAGGATACCGGGGTGTGTTCCAGGATCTCAGGCATCTTTTCTCGCGCATCAGTGGAGTTTTCCTTTGCGCCTCCACATGTGGAGAGACGCTGACGCCGATGCGCTTCTGGAGACATGCTGATGCTGAAGCAGGGCTGTGAGTGAGCCAACATCAGCAGAAAAGAAGTTAACTGAGAGAAGAGGACAAGAAGAGCGAGGGAAAAAAGAGAGAGGCTGTTGGGGCCCACGCCAAAAGTTCATTAACAAAACCAATCGGACTTTTTTTCTCATCTGTAGTGGTGCCTCGCCAACCTTCAAAATTTCGCCCAAAAGCAGACAGGAGGATCGGCCGGTGCTGACGAGACTCGTCGGCAGGAAACGGCTGATCGCGGCTGGGGTGCTTGGTGTGGTCATGGTCCTGGTGCTGGTGATACTGATCCCGGTTTTGGTGAGCTCTGCCGGGACATCCGCCGCGCACTACGAGATGCTCGGCACCTGCAGGATGGTTTGCGATCCTTATGGTACCAAATCCCCGACCAGCACGGTCTCAGCAGAAACAGTCCGGGACAGCAACCTCATGCAGTCTTTACCAACTTTTATACAAGGTCCGAAAGGTGAACCGGGACGCCCGGGGAAAGCGGGGCCGAGGGGGCCTCCCGGTGAACCCGGACCACCCGGACACCCTGGACCTCCCGGAGAGATGGGGCAACCGGGACGACCTGGATTACCCGGGCAGCCGGGACCAAACATGGCCACCGGTGCCATCAGCGCGGCCACCTACAGCACCGTGCCCAAAATCGCCTTTTACGCAGGGCTAAAAAAGCAGCACGAGGGCTACGAGCTGCTGAAGTTTGACGACGTGGTCACGAATCTCGGGAATCATTACGACCCAACCACGGGAAAATTCACCTGTTCCATACCGGGAATATACTTCTTTACCTACCATGTGCTCATGCGAGGAGGAGACGGAACCAGCATGTGGGCTGATCTGTGTAAGAACAACCAGGTGAGCGCGCGCGCGCGCGCGCACGCACACACACACACACACACACACACACACACACACACACACACACACGCGCGCGCAAAACTAACGACTAAAATATGACATAAAAACTTCTTTCTTTCTTTCTTTCTTTCTTTCTTTCTTTCTTTCTTTCTTTCTTTCTTTCTTTCTTTCTTTCTTTCATCTATTAACGTAAAAGTTTGTTTCTATCCTCAGAAAATCACTCTTCAAAATGTTCTGTTCAGTTCCAAATGAAGGGTTCTTTTAGATTTACAAAAATCGCAGACCTTCAGCGTGAAAAAACCTTCAGAAGAAAAAAAAATCGGTATTCTCATGAATATATCCAGATAATTTCTGACCTATATATTTATATATGGATAAAAACATTTTCCAAAGTGACTGTTTAAATATGCATGGGATAAAAAAGTATCAGACAGTATCATACATTTAAGTAATTCATTATTACTTAAATTTAATATTGACTATTGTTTGTCAATTAATTAATTAATTATTGTTATGTCAAGATGTAATACTAATACAGATAATAATAATATAGTCGTGTTATCATTGTTATTATCTTATTAAACAATTTCATTAAACAACTGCTGAAGTTTTCACGTCACATTATGGTTTTCTGATTGGAGAAATTAAAAGAAAAGTAATTTTCTCTGCTTGTTTTCCCCCCACAATTCCCCCACAAAAATGCATTTGCCTAATGGAATTAATCAACATCTTTATTTGAGTTCATGATTGGGTTTTCATGTAGAGCGCTTAAAAATAATATTGCGTTGAACAGTTTCACAAGGTGAAAATTAATGATTCAAATGTATTCACACCTAAGTTAAAAACTTAAATAAAATGTGTTAATAGATGCAACAGCTTGAGTGAATCAAAGCAATTTTACATGCATCATGTCATTTTTTTGCCCGCAATATATCCCAATATGTTTGTTGAAACCCAATAAATAATTTTCATGTTTTCACAAACTTAAAAGAATGGCATGCTTGGTCTATGTTGTGTATATATATATACACACACACAGTATATTGCACATATAGTAAATATGTAATAATATGCAATACAATTACATAATATGCAAATATGTCATTTACATATTACAATAAAATACAAAAGTTACATGCCAGCCACTGTTTTAAGTCCTAGTGTATCTTAAAGAAACAATTAGGCACTTTCCATTGATACAAAAGGTTTGTGGGTGTGGCCAATATGATCATATTTACAAACACACAAATATAGGCCTATGTGTTTGATGAACTTATTTATACAATTGTCACCATAATGTAATAATAAATTGTAATATATTTCCTTACTAAACACTCAGACCTTGCCCAATCCTATTTTTGTTGGGTCTCCTCAGGTCTATAAAGACTTGAGACCTAAATACACAGTATACGCATGGAAAGCAAATGTTTGGGCATCTGACAGCTGAAACGTCGCACTAACTGTTCCTCTCCTCCCGCAGGTCCGTGCCAGTGCCATCGCCCAGGACGCAGATCAAAACTACGACTACGCCAGCAACAGCGCCGTTCTTCACCTGGAGCCCGGAGACGAAGTCTACATCAAACTAGACGGAGGAAAAGCCCACGGGGGAAACAACAACAAGTACAGCACCTTCTCTGGGTTTATAATATACGCCGATTAGGACATGCGCACCTACTCCAGATGGTCTATCCTGTCCCCCTCTGCTACTCCTCCTCCTCTTCTTCTTCTTTTTTTTTTGTTGAGCGTATTTTTCCTTTGGGCCCGGGGCAAGCAGACAGACCTGCTCAAACACCCCTCATCATTAGTCTGTAGATGTGGGTTTGAAGGCAGAACTCCAAAAATCAAGAGCCAAAAAGTAAAAAAAGAAAGATAAAAAGCCCGGAGAAAGAAGCACTTCATCACAGAGGAAAGATGTACGGATGCTTCCGAGGAGAAGTGTGTGTCTTTCTATGTCTGTGGCCATCAAAGAAGCCTTTTATAATATGTAACCTGACATAATCAGCTATATGTGCAATAACGTGAACATCTGTTATTCCAGTTCCATCTCGGTGATACCTGACTAAATGAGTTTGAATCAATCATGTTCCATTAGATATCCAGTGTAACCGGACCAAAACTGATCCTCTTGTGTTCCTCTTGCATATCTGCTAAAAGACTGCAGATATTTGTTCGCTGACTGTTTGTGAGTGCTAATTATGACTTAGGGACATACAACAAAACAATATACCTTGGTGGTAATGGCTTGCAGTGAAATAATATTCCAGTTAAGGCTTTCAGCGATTTACTTTTAGTCTGCAGTGTCAGGGTGTCAAAAGCCCGTGTTTTTTTCCCCCTTCCTTTTTTGTTTTGGTGTGTAATGTTAGCCGGCATCTTTTATTGCACACAGACGTATTAGACCGAGAAAGAAAATGTTTCTTGTGATATTTAGAGCACTATGCAGAGTATGGGTGTTAATATGTAAATGTGTATCTATCTTCAGAGAATTCCAGAATGTGATTAATAATATTGCAACTTATTTTCAGTGTAAATATGGAAATGGATCTCTTTTTTTCTTCTTTTTTGGTTTAAATATGAAAGAGCATCAGGTGACCGTTATGTATATGCGTCACTCTTATCTCCAGGTTGGGATGGCAGGGAATGTGTGTGATGAATTATTATCCGAGGATTATTTTTCTTTTCCTGTCCTGCTGCTGTAATTCTCATTCACGTCTACAACCCTTCAAACGCATTTTCCATTAAATGGAAATTTGATCAGATATGTGCATTTTGCTTATTTTATCTCAATGACTCAATGGCGTACTCTCTGAGTTGGTACTTATTTGAATTTGAGTTTACTTCACGACTACATAATGCGTGTAGTATAAATGTAATCATGACGTACCACATCCGCCATGTTGTTGGTGTCATGTGACCTGCCAGCGCCAGTTGCATCGCTTCACTGCCATTTGTAAATCCTTTCCAATGGCCTCATGGGATAGTAAAGTGTCCATCGAATGCGCATCCAGGGACTTTTTGCCTATAAAAAGTGATCAGTTGACTTAACTTAATTTTTTAAGTTAAGTCAACTAATCACTTTTAACAGTGACTGTCAAATACTATGAATTTAGGAACGTATTTGATTTCGGACACAGCATATGAAGAGTTCAGATGCAAAAGCCTCTAAATGCCATTTGAAATTTTCTTCTTTAATGATGATTTTTTATCAAACTTGTATATTTAAGTTCAGTAATTTCACTTAAATAACAATTAATAGGTAATTATCATTGCCATTTAAGTGAAATTACTGAACTTAGATATACAAGTTTGATAAAAATCATCATTAAAGAAGAAAATTTCAAATGGCATTTAGAGGCTTTTGCATCTGAACTCTTCATATGTTCTCTTATGTAATCATTTAGGCCTGTTGTTATGGTTTTGGCCCTCAGCTTGTGATGTATTCATGGATGCACAACTCTAATGTGACGTACGGTGTATTTCTGAATCAGGAAAAAAATTATCCGATGGGACCTGAATGGAAGAGTCGGTGGCCTAGGTTTAAAATGACATGCAATGAATCATTTGTAATTAGACAAAAAAAAAACCTATGAAGTATTAAGAAATTAAAAAAGACTTAATTTTAATTTCATGTGCAATCTCAATGAAATAAAGGTTATTTATTGAAGTCATGGTTCCATGTAATCTTTAACATCCAAGGAACCTTTCAAGGTTCTTACAGATTACTGTACCAAGGTTCTTACAATGTAGGAAACCTTCAGCGAACAGTTCTTAAAGGAGTAGTTCACTTTTAAAAAACATTTGCTGATAATTTACTCACCCCCATGTTATCCAAGATGTCCATGTCTTTTTTTCTTCATTCGAAATGAAATTATTGGTTTTTGATAAAAACATTCCAGGATTTTTCTCCATATAATGGACTTCAATGGGAACCAAACCGTTCAAAGTCCAAAAGAGAGTCTCAGTGCAGCTTCAAAGGGCTTTAAACGATTCCATACGATGAATAAGGGTCTTATCAAAGGAAACGAGCGGTCATTTCAAAAATAAATAACAAAGTTTAAGTTTTATAAGCTCAAATGGTCGCCTTGCTCTGATCTGTGACACACGTTCGTGACTCTCCTGTTCGAACTCGTTCATCAAAATGAACAAATCTTTTTTCGAGTCATTTGGTTTTGGTTCAACGAACAAAATGACTTGAAAAAAGATTTGTTTATTTTGACGAACAAGTTTATTTTTGATGATCTGGCATTTGGATGTTGAAACGTTTGAACCGTTTGGCACCCAATGAAGTCCATTATATGGAGAAAATGTTTTCATCAAAAACCTTAATTTCTTTTTGACTGAAGAAAGAAAGACATGGATATCTTAGATGACATGGGGGTGAGTAAATTATCAGCAAAAGTTTTTTTTAAAAGTGAACTACTCCTTTAAAAAGAACCATTTTTTTAAAAAAGTGAAGAGCATTTTAATATTATAAAGAACACTAAAACCTTTTGTGGAATGGAAAAAAATCCAAGGATGTGAAAGGTTCTTCATGGAACAACAAAGAACTTTATTTTAAGTGTTGTTCTTCAAATGTTCATCACATTAAGAACAAATGGTTCTTTTTAGAACATTGAAAGGTTCCAAAAAATGGTTCTTCAGTGGCATCAGCGCTGAAACTCCCTTTTGGAATCACTATTTTTAAGAGTGGAACGTTTTATAGTAGGACTGATTGAATCTTCAAAAGGCATTTGAGTTTGGGGTGAATGTCTTATAAACGGTTCCTGCGGGTAGTAAATGTTTTTACCTGCTATCACACTCAAATGGAAGATGTTTGCGTCTGGCAGGTTGTTTGGGCTTTATAGGGTCCTTCCTCTTTCTCAGATTAAACAGTGGATGGTGAAGGTCAGATGGAGGACTCGCTCACACACTCCAGATGGAGGTCTGGCCTCTACAGCTGTGATTGAACCAAAATTAATCACTTTTAGTCCTTTAATAATGTCAAACAGATCCTCAGTGATCGAGATGGATATTTTGTGCAGTGGACGTACCACTCTCTCAAAGCTGACATAAAACAATTGCATGCATTTCACTTCATGCATTTAAGTTTTATTCAAATGGAAATGTGTGTGTGACCGGGCCAATCAGCAAGAGGTCAAACAGGAGTCAACTCTCTGTGTAAAACATTCACGAACCGTAAAGATCCCTGGCATAAAGACAGCCTTTTATAATTAGCTCACACTCTTTCTTCCTCTCGTTATTTCCCTTTCCTTTTTATTCACTCCAAAATCAAATTAAAAAAGACAAACACACAAAAAAGCACATTTTTAGGACCATCATTTTTTTTTTGCATGAAAAATAAGCACTTTGATTTTCCCCCAAATATGCTGTAATGTGAAAAATGTTGAAATTCTTTATTTTTTTGTATCATTTTAGTATACATTTTTACTGTTGTAAAAATGTACAGAATTCTAGCAACAAAAATCTAATCAGAATCATAATTGATTCATAGTAATAATCAAAAAATCAAAAAGCATCCAGAAAAAAAAAATCTGGGGTAATGTGCCTAATTGTTATGAAAAAAAAAAAGTCACATTGCAATAATAATAACAATATTGTTTATGTTAATATAATGTAAAAATAAATAAATAATAATATTTGACTCAGGCATGTTTAAGCATATTTATATGGTTTCTCTTCTTTTTATGATGTTGTTCATTAAGACAGAGCTTTACCTTTTTATTTCACGAATCATCCAATATTTACAGGTCTGATAAACAAAAGAGTTTAGAGCTAACTAATCCGGTTTTATGAGCTTTTCTGTCCCCTCATTTTCAGAGGTCACAGGACAACATGTTCTGAATCAGATTCCAGGGCTCAGAGGATTTGTACAGGGTCAGTCACTCATCCAACTGGAGACCAAGGCCAAGAGCGGCACCGTTTTTCCCTCTTCATGTGATTTAACAAAATCTTTCTTGCACCCCTGAATGGATGTCATTCATCACCAGGAACCCTGTCCAAGAAGCCACCTGTTCAGACGACACTCTCAGCCCTTTCATGGGGCGTCCACGACGGACACATCACTCAACATCAGTCACCTTTCACCCAGGATACTGTCGTCGGGACCAGACAACGTGAAGAGGTTTCAAAACACATCTTGGTCTGCTAATTAGACATGCATAACATGTCGGAAATGTTTAAGTGAATTTTGTCTCTCTGTCGGAAAAGATGTCGGCCGAACGTGGCCTTTTAATTGAACAGGTCTAATGATCAGGGAAGCAGGGACTGGCTGTAAGGAAGTGGGGGTGTGGTCAACAGTTCAGTATGACTAATAATGTAAGAAAATTATAGCATTATATATATATATATATATGAAGAGTTCAGATGCAAAAACCTCTAAGTGCCATTTGATCATTTTTATCAAGCTTGTATATTTAACTTCAGTAATTTCACTTAAATGGCAATGAAGATTACCTATGAATTGTCATTTAAGTGAAATTACTGAACTTAAATATACAAGCTTGAAGAAACTTATCATTCTAGAAGAAAATTTCAAATGGCAATTAGAGGCTTTTGAGAGAGAGAGAGAGAGAGAGAGAGAGAGAGAGAGAGAGAGAGAGAGAGAGAGAGAGAGCATTTTAGCACTCCCGGTTCCCTCGCTCTAAATTTATATAGGCTTCAAAATGTATACATTTTGGATTAACCCATGCGCCGCTAACTTCCGAGTTGTCCTACATAGTGTGACGTCATCATCGACACTCTATATATTTATGGTAACACTTTACAAAAAGTTTCATTTATTAAACATGAACTAACCACGAGAAATACATTTGTTACTATTTAAATGGGTTAAATAAACTATAAACAGTCTTAATTATGTCTAAAAACTATTTAGAGATATATAACGTTAGTTCATAATGTCTAATCACATTAAAATAATATAATTTATTTCATTTCGGGTTTTTTTTTTTATTAAAATTGAACAAATATATTTATTTATACATCTAAAATATACTATAAATCGCTATTTTTTTTATTTAAAATACAATACAATCTCTACCAAAGAAAATAATCCTAAACTACATAAAATATAACTCTTATAGATTATCGCCTGGGTAGGAGTTTCTTTTCGAGCACAGATCCTTTTACAGGTGGACCAGTGTAATATGAGAGACCCTGATATGAATTTATGGGCCACCGCGTCAGTACGACAGTGCACAGTTTATGAGCTAATTATGCAAACGCTAAATAAATTTGCCGGGCTATGAAAGGTCAAACTCACACTTCTGACTCGTTCGCTCATGATGCGGTGCCCTGCAACGGTTACTGTGAGCGTCGCCATCACATCTTCAGCTGCAAGTATTGAGAAACACAACACTTTTGACTGAAGGTTTGTTAGACGCACTCATGGGACTGAAGCTAAAATTGTTTGACTGGATCTTAAGGAATCTTTAAAGCGGTGAGTGTGTGTCCTGACTTTCCCTCAAATGCTTTGTGAGTTTAAATCGCTGCTCTGCTTTGTCCTAGTCACTCTGGTGGTGTGTTGGCCCAGAAAACCCTCATCCTACTTCCTTGCTCTCGTATTTTTCTCTTTCCAGGTGTCTGTATATATAGAATATGTGTATGAGAACCATAAAATCTGGATGGGGGGTAAAAATATAGTCAACATTTTTGGGAGTAAGTTAGCGATAAAGAGATTAAAAGATTGCGTCTTTTGAAATGAGAAACGAATATTGTCAGACTGAATTAAAAATAGTTTTAAAACACAACACTGTATTTT